AAAACGTGTGTGTGTGTGTGTGTGTGTGTGTGTGTGTGTGTGTGTGTGTGTGTGTGTATACATAGATCCAAGATACACATATAGATATAGATATAGATATGAGATCAGCAAAGAGATTTATACAGGTAAATTATCTTTCTGCTGGCTGTTTTGCTTTCTTATGGAAAAAAATGAAAACTTAGTATTGGTTACAGTTAAGCTGACTTCAAGATTATATGCCCCAGAAGAATTTTGAAGATTAACATAAAAAAAAAAGATCTTTTACACCTCTTTCAAAAATGGCCTGGGAAAAGAAAATAAACGCAGGTGATGTGCTGATCCAATTTCCTCTCTCCATTGAAAACTATCGAAAATTATACTATAGAGAAAAGAGTTTTCCATAAAAGAATTTTGAACAAATTTGATCATTCACTAGTATTTGGAAACAAGAAGCTGTGTGATGCAATTTCTCAATGTCCCTTGGCCAGGGTTTGTTTGAGGTACTTTGGGTAAACAGAGAAAGCCTGGGTCTGTCTCAGTACCACTAGTCTCAGTGGGCATTTCCCAACACTCGATACAGATAATTCCTCCATACACATATGAGTCCCCAGAAGAATACCAAAACCATGAGACATGGAGCTTTCCAGAGAGAAGGACTGGATTCCAGCTGGTTTGTGACAGACAGGCTGGGTGTCCTTGGACAAGACACTTCATTAACTGTCGGTTTTCCCGTGTATATATAAAGTGGAGGTGAGATAATGGTTACCACCCTCAGCATGATTATAAGGATTCATTCAGATAATGTGGGGAAACATTTAAAGGAACCCATGTACAAAGTAAGAACTCAGTCAATGCTATTAACTACAGGAGTGAGAACACTACAAACGTAAAAGGGTTGCCAGCATATCTGACACCGCTCCAGGCCTCGCCTTCAGAAATTCGAAATCTGTTATAGGTGGAAAGTTCATGTAAGGCGGTGGACAGGAGCTGGACAAGAGTCCACGGATGGGATGAGGAAGTGGTTTGCAGCAAATAGGAGTGAACATGGAGGTTGGAAGGCAGCCGAGCCAAGGTTCTTTGAAGTTGGACAGTTGGAGGCTCGTTCACCATTTCTACCCGTCATTAACTGCACAACCTTGGCCGTTTGCTGTGACATTTGTACAGCCAGGTCACTCATAAAGCAGTGTCCCCAAAGCTATGTTAGAGATTTGAACTGATGTCCTAATGAAACTGTGCAGAATGTGTTCCAATGTAGCACCTGGGGTGGGGAGGTGCTCCCGCGGGGAAGGGACTCTGTTTGGTGTGCTGCCAGAGTGGAAGGTGCCCGCTCTGATAGGTGGGAAGGTTTAGGGAACGTGGCGATAAAATTAAGGCCTGTGCGGAAGTGGAGCCAAATCAGGAAGAAAGAGAGGTGGAAATGAGTTAAAACGTTAAGAAAAAGCATCTGGAATGCCAATGGGCAAGCAGCCTGATTTACATGTCTTGAAGATTGCAGAAGACAATTCAGAACCAACAGTTCTGTGAACTCGGTAACCACCCCAGCCCCGTGACAGCGGGGAGCAGCTCTCGGCGGCTCCTGTGCCCTCATGCCCCCCATACCTCTAGACTTTACATGGGTGAAAACTGAATGTCCATTGCTTACAGCCTCTCAAATGGAAAGATTATAATTAGACAAGCAACTGAGAACTACCCAGAGAAATACGCACCCCGAAATTCAATACATGATCCAACTTTTCCCCCATAGAAAAATTTTAAAATTTGACTCAATTTTTTAAAAAATGTAAACAAGGCATATTGGGCTGGTACTCAACTAATTGTATTTATGGAAGTAATTTCATCCTCAGGAAAAAATCCTAAATAAATTAATATCAAAGTGACTGCATGGGGGAACATATTTTTAGGATATTAAAGGGCCACCCTTGGCAAGAATAAGATGAATTTGTGCTTATCCCAACATCACAAATAATGCTTTTGATTCTTCACATACAATATTTCATTTAAACCTTGATTTGGTGGTCAGGTTAATAAATTTGTGATAATCATGAACATACACGTCAAATTACTTTAAAAATATGAAATCTTTATATGTCAAATCTAAAGTTAGATAATCTTGGGTTCAATTTTGTTCTCAATTGTCAAAGGCGGGAGGGGTGGGTTATGGTTTTGTCCACTGCCCCATACCGGGAATGGCAGACGCTGTCTTTTTTTATTCGTAATGCTGAGAAATGGTGTTAAATTAAGCTGCTGGTAACTAAAGCCGTTATTCTAGTTCATTGAAGATTTTCTGATCTGGACTAGCTGAGCATGTTGATTGGGTTTTTGTCCACTTGAGTCCTCTGGGAAGAGGAAATCTCTTCACCCATTGGGCATTTTCTTGATTGGTGATTGATGTGGAAGGCTCAGCTCACCATGGGTGGTGCTGTCCCTGGGCAGATGGTCCTGTATTGTATAAGAAAGTAAACTGACCCCAACTGGACTCCAGAGAAACCACAACTATTGGGGGATTTATTAAGGCAACTCCACGTAGTTAAAAAGGAGGTTTATTTTGGGGTAACTTACAACAAGTAAAGGGATAGGTTTCAGGATCCGGAAGAGTGAAGTGCAGTCCAGCAGTGTTCTCTGGAGAACTCTTGTAAGTCTACTATCCAGCATCCAGGATCACCAGGAACCAAGAGTGCTGGCACATCCAGATCTCAGGGCGTAAGGTCTCCCGTCTGGGCTTGCCTCAGGGGCAGGCCATAGGTAGGCATGACAGTTACTGGAAGCCTCACTGGGAGTAGTACTTCTAGGTCAAACCTGGAACAGTTACCTACTACATCCAACTCTGTGTGCCATGGGACTGGAGAGGGCGACACCCCACCAGGTCCAGAGGCACTGTGACACACACACCCCTACTACCACCACCATCTGGGCAGCACAGCAAAGATCATCCTATTGATAAGAGCACAGATGTCCAGGCTCAGACCCAAGGGTATGAGTTGGCCCACCCCATCATCCACTCCATCTATGATCTTCTGGAGCATGTGAAAGGAGCTGACCTGCAGACCCAAAGCTTCAGGGTCTCCGCAACACAGGGCAACAACAGGAAACCCAGGAGGAGCCCAAGAGTGGAAACCAGAGACCTCAAACCAGACCAATGACTCTTTGCAATGAACACTGACAAGTAAAGACATATGGACAAAGGAGTTCACAGTATGACACACAGTTTCAAGCTACATCTTCCACGATGAGATTTTTACATTTTTCCCTTTTCCAGTTTATCTTTCTTTAATCTTATTTTTTACCTTTTTTCTCTTAAATTTTGTTTTTTTTGGGGGGGGTGCATAGTCAGAGGGCAGATGCAAAGGGAAGGGGAAATGAATGAGATCAAGATACTTGATGTATAGACGCATAGAATAAATTAATAATAATAATAATAATAATAATAATAATAATGAAAGCGAACTGAGGAACCCAGGAGCAGCAAGTCAGTAACTGGTGTTCTGTGGTCTCTGCTTCCGTTCCTGCCTGCTTGACTTCCTGCCTTGAATTCCCCTGAGGCTGAAATGTAACCGGAAGCCAAATAAACCCTTTTCCTTCACAAGTTGCTTTTGGTCACAATGTTTATCACATCAACAGGAAAACAAGCTAAAGCAGACAGATAGAATAAAATAAAAATAATCTTTTTATGAATTATAAAAATCCAAGTTTCAAATTACTTTCAGTTCTCTTACTATAGTTTATTTAACAATTCCTATATAGTAGTTAATGTCTGGGCAAGATTAAGACTTAATGTATGGGAAAGAGTTGAGATTTGGTGTGGAAGAGATGAGTGGATGGTGAAGAGGACGTGTTGCTCTTCCAGAACACCTGAGTTCAGTTCCCTGCACCCACCCTGGGATGTGCACAACTGCCTGTAAGTTCAGATCCAGGGGACCCAATACCTCTTCTTGCCCCCATGGGTACTACAGTCACATGCATGAGCGTGCGCGTATGCACACGTGTACACATGTACACACACACACACACACACACACACACTCGTGCATACGTGCGTGCGTTTAGTTTTTAAAAACGTTTAAGAGTTTGAGACTTGCATGACATCTCTAAAATAATGGTCAATAAAAACCCAAAGTACTTCAGATTTATGAGTCCCTTAGTATGTAATAAATCAGCTCCATTTGCCTAACTTCCTTGAGTAACAGTGGCCACGCGTGATGAGAAAAATGGGGATGAAGAGGGAAAGGACTCCTCCAGGGCTGTGAGGACACTCCACATAAGTGGATGATGGGATTGTGACATCAACCCTGGCAGGTTTTAGAACATGTTCATTTAATCAGCAGTGATGAACCCACTGAGGAAATGACAAATTAATGTTATCTTAGAAGCAGAATCAAGACCAAGGGCTGGACATGGACTGTGAACTTGGAGCTTTGCTCTTTGCCTATTGTTAAGGAAGTGCTCCCTACAGGAGTACCACCCACCAATAGGAAAGCTTGGGCGAGGACGAAAGAATGGCATGGTTCACTGACCATCCTTTCCTCAATTATAAGCAATGTTAACCTTCCCTCAAACCTATAATTACAGGATTACTGCAAACTCAATATAGAGGTTGCTGAGTTTGAAGGCTGCGTGTACCAAATTCTGATAGTAACTCACTGGAAACAAAAGGTAAGCCTTAAAAATGTCAGTGGCCTGTTTCTCAATTATGTCCAAGCAGGTCTTTGAACATTACCAAGGTGTTCTTAGCCTAGAAGTTTCAGGAAAGAAACGTGAGAGTGTAAATGAAAGCTGTCCTCTCTTTCAAAATCTGTTGTTGAAAACATCCATTTGTATTATAAAAATAAAGTCAGCCATTACAGACACTGGCAGGCAGCTCCCTATATTTAATGAATCCTGAAAACATTGTCCCCACTCCAAACCAATGATTATATTCTTGTCTTCCCACTCCCTAGTTCAGACCCTGGCCCTGGTGAGTTTTTTTTCCTTTGCCCTTTGCCCTACTGAAAAAACAACTCGTTGTTTGATTAAATATTCTTCCCTGATGGAGATTTATTGTGAATACTGTAGAGGAGCCCTCCCCAGAGTTGCTAGAATGCCCTAGACAGCCACCCACAGTCCCTTTGCTTTATTTCAGATTGGAAGGTATATCTAAGAAGCTTCCAAGTTTCTGGTGGGATTAGAACCTGATGACACCATCATAAGCTAAGGACGTCACACGTCAAAATGCTTTCCATATACCTGCCCACCACACAGCAAAGCTTTGCCACGGTTCTTCCTCTTGATCACTTGGCAGGTACAGATGCAGCTCATGTCACCAGCCAGAATCCCCTCAAAATATGCATATGTCCACACTAGCCTGGTTAAAAACAAATCAAAATTTTAAATTCAGAATACAGTTTCTACTTTGCACAAGGGTCAAGTCAACAATTCCTGAAAGAAGTCATCTTAAGTGGAGGGCCATCTGTAACTCAGTCTCACACCTCTTCTCTTTTTAACTCCAGACAGACAAGGGCACTGAAGTTCACAGGTTTTTAAAAAATGTGTTGAAGCTACAAACTCCATTGCAAGGTATTAGGATTATATCATTAGCAATCCACGGAGTCTGCTTAATAATCAAAGGAATTTATTTGGGAGTTAATTCACAAGACAGAATAAAGGAATTTGTCACAGGATCCTGGAAGGGTGAGGCACGGTCCAATGCTGTTCTCTGGCAGGCTCTGCCCTGGTCTGTCCCAGCATCCAAAACCATGAGGTAGCAAACAGAGAGCTGTATTTGTGCATCCCAGGTCTTAAGGGTCCCTGAGCAGCCACACCCCAGGGACCCGTACTTCAAGGTCATAGGCAGGTGTAACAGTTACCTGCTACCTCATTAGGGGCAGTACTTCAGGGCATGGCTCAAACAGCTCCAACTACATCTCCCCCTTTTGTCTAAATAAGAAAGTTCTAACCTAACACAAAACTATATACAATAGGAATGATTATTAAGTATTGTCCAGGAGAAATAAAAGGTAATGACCTAATTGATGAAACCACAACCAACAAGAACAACATCAAACAAGAGACACATACTAAAATCCAGAGATGTCCAGAACATAGGTAAATGGTATGTTAGAGACATTATTCCAAAAGCTGTCCTATCCTGAAGAATTTGAATCTAGAACTTAATATGTTCTAGATAAGATAGGAGAAGATTGTAATTATAACTATTAGTCTTTAACCCCATCAAAGACCTGAGAAGGAATGTAATAATACCCAAGAAAATGGGAAAATACACACAAGCAATTTTCAAAAATCTTTCAGAATAGAAAGAGACAGTTGGCAATCTGAACAGTCACCTAAAGTTTCTCAGCACCATTGGGGCATCCAATTTGGCTACAGGCCTAGAATATCTGACAGACCATTTTCAGAAGCAGGAATTTTGAAAGACCATCTTACCCTGTATTGGCAGAGTTCAGTAGTCGCTTTTCCTTGTGTCCTGTTTGTCCAGAAAGGACAGCATTTGTGCTGTCAGCAGTAAAGGTAAGGGCAGTTCTTTAGCCAGCAGGGCATTAAACTTCCAAACAAATTGTCTTAGGAGCCACACTTTCTCTGGGGATCAGATTGGTGCTGCCAGAAGCAATCATGTCTCACATCAACAGAATTCTAAGTTATTTAAATGCCATACTCTCTAGGTCTAGGAAATGTTTGAAGATTACCTATCCACCTGACCTATGTATCTGTAAATCTGGACAACCTAACTAACATAACTATAGAAATGACAAGCATGGATGACTATAAATCTGTAAGTCCTATCTACCTAAATAAATAAGGACTAAGTCTTCATATAAACAAACTAAAGTCTGTAAACAAATGTACAGTAAAAGGACAATGACCTCAAAAGTCTGACAATACACAAAATATCTTAAACAGAGGTAGAAATGCATAGTGCAATATGCAATATGATAATAATCCTAAATATGTATCAATATATAAAATATCTTAAACAGAGGTAGAACATACAGTATAATAAATTTAATTTTACATTTGTATCAATATACAAGATATTTCAAACAGGAGTAGAAATATATGTATAATACAACAAACATAGTTTTGTATTTGTCTCAATTTATAAATTATCTTAAATAGGAATATAAAAATAGTTTACATTTGTATCAACATACAAGAACCCATAATGATGCAAATCATCTAAGGTTGATATTTTACTAAATTAGTTTACTAGTATATACAATAATCTACCTTAATATTCTATACCTATCCATGGGCAAGGGGATTTGTGGAAGCTATTTGGGTGGGTAGAAGGCCCAGAATGGCCAACCCTTGCTCCCACATGGAGGAGGTGGGCACCATACATTGGGGCATGGCTCAAACAGCTCCTACTACAGCAAGGAAACCAAGAGTCCATCAGATCTGGACTTTCCCTCCCACAACTGCACTGTGGGAATCTCTATAGCAAGGGAGAAATAGGAGAGAGGGAGAGAGGGAGGGAGGCAGGGACGGAGGGAGGCAGGGAGGGAGGGAGGGAGTACTCACTCAGGTACTTGAAGGTGTCCTACCTCAGTCCTCTTTGGTCTGCACTGTAAGTTATAGCCCATTCATCAACTAGTTCAAAGGCAAACAAGTCTTGGTTAGAGAAGAGGCTCATGGGAAGCTCCGTACATCTTCAAGAAAGCAGCTAAAGTCTGGTCAGCAGGGCCCAGTCCAAGGACCATCCTAAAATATTGGAGGTCTTCTGCCCCAAAGAGCACACATAGGCAGGATGGGGGTCAACCTCTGGCATCTCTCCCAAGCGCAAGGGCAGAAGTACCTGGAGACAGGGTGGAGGAAGGGTAAACGCTTTTGTTATTAATATTTTTTTTCTCTTTCCAAGGGGTCAAAAGCCAACAATTTGACACTTGTAAAAGTGTCAGGCCGAAGGGGAAGGCTCCCTGGCAGACGTGACAGCTCACTCAGCCTGTACTAGAAGCAGGGATTCAACACCATGCTTTCTTTTTCCTCTTTCCAACAGTCTCTGTTGCTCATGGCAGATTTAATGGTGTGATTTACAGCACCGAGAGACCTTTGTCAGGGCCAGTAAAATGACAAACAATAAATACGCGGAGCAGTATGTTAACAGCCTCCACACAATGCCTTGTCAGTTACAGCTTGATAGCGATACATTTTAATTTTGTCTTTCATAAAAATCTTGGCATGTATGCCTCATTTGAACACAGGCTTCCAAGTCAAGTGTGTCATCCAAGCATGTAGTTTATCACCCTCTATATTTTCTGTCCTTTTCATTTAATGTCATTCCTATGGCAACAGACATCGCCCTGGAAATCATTTTCAAAACAGCTTATTTGTTGAAAAGGACTGGGTGAGGCTAAAATATGTGTTTGGCTGGGAAGAATGTCAGAGTGTGAATATGGCTGAGTTACATTAATCATATTCTTTGAGGACTTTGTGTAATCAGATACTTGAGGGAGGCGTATTATGGGGTGGGATCTGACATCCCTACCCCACCCCCAGCTTTTTATGGTTTTGCATTTCATAAGGATAAAAATAGGAAGAGTAAGTTTCTAGTTTACACCACGTGAAGGGCTCTGAATGTGACTTTAACGTGTCTGTCTGTCTGTCTGTGGGGTATCACAGAAGGGCAGCTATGCTACTGAGCTGCTGTTTCTCAGAAGCTGGGCTGTGAATCCGGAGTCAACCTTTACCCGACACATCTTTAATGAACATTGCAGGGAGCACACAGAGGTGGGCTAACAGAACCTCTCACCCCTGGAGCTTGCATTCTGGTAGGAAGACAGACCTTAAATAACCAGACTAAGACACTGGCTAAGCCGAGTTCCGTCCAAACATGGTCTGAGATGGAGGTTCTTTTCAATGGTGGGTTATTGAAAACTCAGTAAACAAGTCCTACAGGGGCTTATGAGGAGGAGTGGCAGACAGAGCCATGTTGGGGAAGTAGCTTAACCAAGCTGAGCTGTGTCTGGCCTCCATCCCATCCCCACAGGAGCCCTGAGTGTGACTGGCCCCGCCCCACTGAGTCTGAGCCAGCTTGGGACCTTGACTGGGTCAGGGCTGCTGTCCTTACAAGGCAGTCCATCATTGGTTATGAACTCCCTGCAGACAGCTATGTGGTATCGTGGTCTTCTAGGAACTTCTGGACTAGTTGGCTCCCCTGAACCAGAAGTGATCTTTGGGGCATTTGCTGTCAAAAACCATGGCAGCTGGGGAGTGGAAAAATCAGCCAAGACAGGAGACAGTTTGGTCGCAGCCCAGAGCTTCCACTACACAGAAACACACATTACAGCTCCAGACAAGGATGACAACGGGAGTGGAATAAAAGAGGGTAATCAGCAGCAGGCATTATGAACCGCTTCTCTGAAGTCTGACCTGAGACCCGATTGGCAAATAGAAGCCACCAAAGTAAAGATGCTGAGAACAGTTTGGACGGCAAATGAAATGAAGTAAATGACTGATGGGTGAGGATTTGGTTTGGTTTCTAAAGTTGTACGTTTAGGATATTTGAAGAGCAGAGGAAAAGCCCAAGTAGCTGAAGTGTCCCGCTCCATGGATGGGGCAGGTATAAGTCACAGAGACAGGCAGGGTTTCTGGTGTATAACATGGTGATCCGTGAGAAGGTTTGGAGTTTATCCTAACGTCAGCAGAAGACTGTTAACCTAACAAGGGTGGTACAGTTTAAACAGAAAATGCCACCCACAGGCATGGTTGGGACACTTATTCTCCACCTGGTGATGCTGTTCTGGGAGGCATTGGGACCTTCAAGAGGAGGGGAATAGCTGGTTGATGTAGCTACTCAGGCCAAGACTTTGAAAGTTGTAAGCCTGCCTGCTTCCATCAGAGCTCTCCTGCTTCCTGATGTCACAGGCTGGGCTGCCCCCTCCCGTTGCCATGGACACTGCCCCAGCTGCCACATCTTCCCCACCGTGATGAAGAACCAGAATAAATCCTCCCTCCATTGGGTTGCTCCATCAGATGGTTCTGTCCCAGCAAAGAGGAAAGTAACAAAAAGAAACTCAGTACAGAGAGTCACGTGGTAGAATCTAGAAATCCAACAAGTAGACCCCTTGGCTCTAGTCTGCATATCTGAGAAGCAATGGAAGACAGCTGTTACCAAATGGAGAAATTCAAAATGGAGGCAGTACATTCATACTGTCGTGGAGTATCAGTTTAAGATGCGGCACATTCATTTATGCTGTGGACTATTTGTTTAATGATGTGAAGATGTGTTGTATTCTTTTATGGTGCATTTGTTTACGTAGAGCTGTGTTACTCTGCCTAAAACACTTGATTGGTCTAATAAAGGGCTGAATGGCCAATAGCTGGGCAGGAGAGGGAAATAAGCGGGGCTGACAGACAGGGAGAATAAATAGGAGGAGAAATCTAGGGAAGAGAGTGAGGAGGGAGGAGGGAGAAAAGGAGGAGAGGAGCCTGCCAGGGGCCAGCCACACAGCTAGCCATGAAGTAAGAAGGAAAGAAAGACATAGAATAACGAAAGACAAAAATCCCAGAGACAAAATGTAGTTAAAGAGAAATGGGATAATTTAAGTTAAGAAAGGCTGGCTAGAAACAAGCCACGCTAAGGCAAGGCATTCATAAGTAAGAATAAGTCCCAGTGTATTTATTCGGTGGCTGGGTGGCAGGCCCCCAAAGAGTTAAAAACCCAACTGCACATACATGTGAATATCATCTACAAGTCCCAAGAGTTAGTGGCATAAGACAGTATCTGGTTTATTTTTTGTTGTTGTTTGTTTGTTTGTTTGTTTTTCCTCACAGTAATTCTGAAACACCTTCTAAACACAGGTTGACTGCAGCTCTGATTTTGAGCCTTTGGGCCACGTATTTTTCCCTACACTACTCCAGGACCACGTTTTCTCCAAATTGTGGCTATGCCATTTTTTCCTTAGCGGTATCGTTCTGTGTGGTAGAACAAACCTTATGGAGCCTTGTTATCCAGATGTGGTCTATGCAGCGGACACATACATAACTAGGTATTTTAGAACAGCAGAGCCACAGACCAGATCCCAGGTCTGTTGCAAACACGATCTGCATTTTAACCAGTATTAAATGTGGTTGGTTAGCTCTGTTGCTGAACACTGTCTCTACAGAAAACTCTCTCTTGAGGTCCAATCATGCATTTAATAACAAAAAACATTTGCATACAACCACTGTGTACAGGCCTCTTTTTTTTTTAAAGTTGAACCTTGTAATTAGAAAAGAAGTGACTGTATAATCCTTCCACAACACTGTGGTTTATATAGACACCAGGCAGGTGCTTGGGATAATAAGAGAGCCCCTAAATACAAAGAGACTTGGGGGAGGAAAAAGTGGGCACTGCAGCCATGGTGAGGAGTTCACAGAGATCAGTAGTAGCAAAGCTTATCTTCGAGTTCTATTTCTAGGAGACAGATTTTTCTGGAATGGAGGAACCCAAAAATCTGCAGTTTCATAAAAACAAGAAAAATTCTAGCAAAATCATCAAAAGTAACTAACTTCTTCAAAAACCTAAAAGTCAATCCCGAGTTCCAGGGGTATCATTCAAAAAGCAAGTGACTAGTTCTACAAGATGCCAATAGGTGTGATCTCTAAGGATATGTTCTGGTCAAATGAGCAGTGTTAAGAACAGTTAAACGGTGCGCTTCGGTAGGGTCTTTCAGGGATGAGAACAATGCTATATATTCATTGGTGTCCAGGAAGCAGTTTTCCAGAAACTTAACTGACCACAGATCGTTTAAGTCGTGTTGTCGAGATGTTTGAGGTATTTTCTGCATCTAAGTTCCAAGACATACCCCTCTGGAAACCAGCGGGTAGTTCTGACTGGAGAGCCACACATACCGGAAGCAGGGGTTGGAGAAGAGAATGTCCTAGAAGCTTGCACAGTAGAATGAAAGTGGTAGAAAGTAAGATACAAGACTGTTGGAGTCTTTGAAGATTCAACAAGGTGATTTAGAAGAAAGTTTTCTTAAGCAAGTTACACAGAGGACAAGCCATAAAAGAATGATGAATTTGACATTAAAATTTAACTTTCTCCAGAAAAAAATCATATTAAATATATTGGAAAGATAAGACACAGCCTATAACAAGATAATCAACACACATATAACCAACAAAGATCAGTTACCAATATGTATGAGCTGCCAAGGTCATTGCCTGAAAATAAACAGAAACACAAATTATCAGTAGACATGGAAAAGTTGTTCCACCTCCAGAACTGTTAGGGAAAAATAAGTCAAAATAAAATCGTAATATATTCTACATAAATTCTCATGCAAAAGAGCAGCAAATGGTGATTCAGAGGTGAGCATGGCTGGGATACTCAGGACCCAGACCCGGGGCCTGTATGATTCAGAATGGCTTCCTGTGCTATTAGGGGGGCTTAAGATTACTTCACACTTTTGATATCAAAAGTGTATGGATTTTTTCCTCATACCAGCTATTGTGCCAACTGTCTATACTCTGGCTGGATTTCTTTTTTTTTAATTTTAAGATTTGTATATTTATTACATATACAGTGTTCTGCCTGCATGTGTCCCTGCAAGTCAGAAGAAGGTACCAGATCTCATTACAGATGGTTGTGAGCCACCATGTGGTTGCTGGGAATTGAACTCAGGTCCTCTGGAAGAACAGTCAGTGCTCCTAACCTCTGAGCCATCTCTCCAGCCCCTCTGGCTGGATTTCTATGACTTGGTTCAATGTAGAAGCCAGGTATGGCAACATGCACTTATAATCCCAACATGGGGAAGACAGAGGCTAGAGGATTAAGGTCAGTCTAGACTACATAGTAAAGCCCTGACTCAAAACAGCAACAAAAATTCCCACCACACAGTGAATTCTACTAGTTCTCAGATTTAACACCAGACTTTTGTGCCACAGAACTGTGCTTTCTAAGGCATCAAACACCTATATCGCTACCAGGGCAGGTCCATTCCTGTCTGACTTAGCTACAACCGCCTCCCCTCAGTGACTTAGCCATGGTCGCCTAGGGGCAGATACACAA